GTTCAAGGGGTATGAATACTTTTGCAAACCACTGTAGCTCGCTAGTAGCCTCACACCGAGGACCTATCCACGTCATCATTTACCCAGAATGCTTTGTGTGTAAATAAAATGGCTCCGTCTGTGTTAAAATATATTTTTAAAAATTATAAAAACTAAACAGTCCAGTATTTTTTAAAGTCTTTATTTTACAGTTAAAATAAATGTTTATCAAATAAAGTCTAATGTTACAACTAATCATGGATCCTTTTAAAAAGAAGTACAAAGGCAGACTTCCAAACCAACGAGATTTGACCTGAAGAATTTATTAGCAAATTCAATAAAACTTAATAAAACACCGTATTGCTGCAGATCCATGTTTTAATGACAGCAGTTCTTGTTTGTCTCGCAAATCAGAAACCTAAAGTTAACAAGTTCAACCCTTTTTATTCCTGTTTCATCTTAACTCTGTTCCATCAGACATGGCACGAGTCTACAACTGGGATGTGAAGAGAAGGAGCAAAGAAAGCCTCCTAAAATCAGACAAGCCTTAACTAAAGGGGACAGAGCCTAGGACCCCCCCCCCCCACTCCCTCCTGCTAACATACTCCCTGGTCATTACAACCACAAACCCCTGAAGTCGTGTGTACGTTGACCCCAGAGCTCGGCTCATGGAGGACACGTCTGAAAGCTTTCTGAGGGTTTTGACTCARCTTGATTCAAACCTGATGAATCTTTTTTTTTCATCTTCAAAGCCGTAGATGAAGTTGTAGACGTTGARCATGTGTCACAATTCTGTTTGATTTTCAATGTCTCCTTTGTCCAGCCAGCTCAGCCTTCCACCACTAATGTTTTTCTGTTGATTTGTCACTTTTTAAAGTATTTTTTCAAGTAAAAAAACTAACAAAACAAAAAAAGAAGTCAACAAAGCAGTTTTGTATTTTTTAAATATGTTTCATTTATTTTTATTTAGCAGATTGTGAATGGGTTCTTTTGCATCATCTTTTCCTTTCTTATGGACTCGACACGGCAACATCCGCACGCCGAAGAGTTTTTAAACAGCTGACTGTAGGGTGATAAACAACAACAAATGCTAAGATAAGAATAAGATAGTTTTGGTTGGTCACAGACTTGTAGGGGTTCACATGATCACAGGTAATCCTGCTTCAGACCTGCTGCTTTTCCATCCTTTGACCTTCTATACTCCACCATCTCCTCCCTGTTTTCATCTCTTACCACTGTTCTGTCTGTATTTATTTGTCTTTTCTCATTAAAAATGAAGTTAAAAAAAAGAACATTTGGTCAAAGAGATGAGACCTTGAATTTGTGCTTTGTTGGTTTTCTACATATTTCAAATTAAACACATTCAACATGTAGAAGTGTACAATAATACACTCAGAAACATGACGCAATAAATCTGACTGATTTGATCTTAAATTGAGGAAAAAGTAGATCTAGAAGAGTCACAAAATATTCTTTAAAATATACTTTGTGGTGCAGATAAAGGAAGTTGAAACAGACTCACAAAGCACCTGAAGCTGGGACTTGGGATTTGTTTACGCTGCACAGTTTTWAAGTGAAATCGTAACATTAAGTGTGTTTCAGTTGTTTGTCTTTACAACAGCGATCATTTTCTCTGACACCAAAGCTTTGTGAATCCAGATCTCAGAGGTTTTTTTTTATTATTATTATTTTTAGAAATGCACTGAATCTGTATGAAATCATGAGAGCATTCTACAGCCGGCTGCAGTCAATAAGTTTTCTGCACAACTCTTCACTTTATCAGAGCTTCTGATAGAACATGTACTGCATCATCTTCTGGGACAGCAGWTCAAATTARTGATGTGCACATCGATACYGAAATATCAATACTACCGATACCACAACTTTACACTCTAGAATCAATGCTAAAATCAAAATATCAATACCTGGATAYTTCAGTTATTTCACATAATGTATATCATTAACAGGAAAATAGTGGAAAATAAACTTCAAATCTTGTCGTAATCATATGTGGTTGGAGGGAACTACTTTCTCTTCCGTTTGGGTAATGCATAAGCACAGTGGCTCATGCTCAGTCAGTCACTTTGTAGATGTATGGCAGGTCATTTTAACATAAAATCTGCTTCGTGTGACTGTAATTACGTTCTAGATGAGGGGTTACCAAACGTTTTCATGCCATGGCCCGCCAAACAGCATTAGCTCTGGCCAGGGACCTTCTTGCAAACTCACAAACAAAGCTACAACATATACAAAGTAAAAACTTTTAGACTGTTTTGTTTTCTCACCTTTATTCACTATTCAAAAATTATTATACATCTTTAGAACAAGGGTGCCCAAACATTTTCCTCAAGAGAGCCAAAATGAAAATGTATTCGGGGCTGCAGGCCAAATGCAGTAATATAATACATGAAATACAAATACTTTTTAAAGTAAAGTCCTTTATTTTTAACAATTAAGCTAGCAGCCAGTGTGGTGGCCCACTTTTGTTTTAGTTTGTGAACTTGGAGAAAGTCTGCCAGACGCTCAAGTAGRAAAAGCTCATGGGACATTTAATAAATTGATAAAWTATGAGTTTTTATGGCCTTAWAAAGTGTGAAAATCTACATGTGTGGTTAAATCTAATCTAAATATCTCTTGTTGTTACTTGTATTTCATGCTTCATGTTTAATCTTAATATATCAAAGATAAAGTCAACACCATGAGTGAAAACCATCTGCACTACAGCCCCTTACATAGTCACTGGGCCAAGGGATGGAATGCCATCCATCCATCCATCCATTTTCTTCCGCCTATCCGGGGTCGGGTCGCGGGCTCTACTCTGAGTCCCTCCCGGATGACCGAGCTCCTCACCCTATCTCTAAGGGAGAGCCCAGCCACCCTGCGGAGGAAACCCATTTCGGCCGCTTGTATCCGGGACCTCGTTCTTTCGGTCATGACCCAAAGCTCATGACCATAGATGAGGGYAGGAACGTAGATCGACCGGTAAATCGAGAGTTTCGCTTTCTGACTCAGCTCTCTCTTCACCACGACGGACCGGTACAGCGCCCGCTTTACAGCAGACGATGCGTCAATCCGCCTGTCGATCTTCCGCTCCGTTCTTCCCCCATTCTTGAACAAGATCCCCAGATACTTAAACTCCTCCACTTGAGACAGGGCGACCCCCCTGATCCGGAGAAGGCACTCTGCCCTTTTCCGGCTCAAGACCATGGCCTCGGATTTGGAGGCACTGAGCCTCATCCCGGCCGCTTCGCACTCGGCCGCGAACCGCTCCAGCGAGAGCTGCAGATCTCGTTCCGATGAAGCCAACAGGACCACATCATCCACAAAAAGCAGAGATGCGATCCTAAGGCCACCAAAATGGATACCCTCAACACCTCGGCTGCGCCTAGAAATTCTGTCCATGAAAGTAATGAATAGAATCAGTAACAAAGGGCAGCCTTGGCGGAGTCCAACTCTCACCGGAAACGAGCCCGACTTACTGCCGGCAATGCGAACCAGACTCTGACACCGGTCGTACAAGGACCTGACAGCCCGTATCAAGTGGCCCGGTACCCCATACTCCCGGAGAACCCCCCACAAGGCCCCCCTTGGGACACGGTCGAACGCCTTCTCCAAGTCCACAAAACACATGTAGACAGGTTGGGCGAACTCCCAYGCACCCTCCAGGACCCTGCTGAGGGTGTAGAGCTGGTCCAGTGTTCCACGACCAGGACGAAAACCACACTACTCTTCCTGAATCCGAGGTTCGACTATCCRAHGGACCCTCCTCTCCAGGACCCCTGAATWGACCTTACCAGGGAGGCTTAAGAGTGTGACCCCCCTGTAATTGGAGCAATACCAGACATTCTGAGGCAATTATCTTAGGGTTGGCGAGGAAGAGTTTAAGAAAAAGGAGGAAGAAGGTGTTAGCTTTCCTATGCTTTTATCTTATATAATGTGGGTTTTAACCAGAAGGACGAAGCATTTTGTGCTCGACTTCGGTCAGACAGCGAGGTTCATAACACAGCCAGCTTTTTTACCTTTATATGATGTCTGTCACCTGCCAGGTATGTTGGGTATTCTGCTAAGAAAATCCGCTCAGGACAGTCTACCAGAGTGACCCAGGCGTGTAGTTCTATTCGCTTTGTCCACATCAAGCCGTAGAAAAAAGGCGAGGCCCAAAACTGGAAACCGAGTTCAAATGAAACTTCCGTCTAGAAAGTTTTCCGAAGTGGATCGACCAGGCGTTGGTCATCCAGGCTATGAGGTTTTCCCCATTGGCGTGAAGGGCTGAAACCTGTCACAGCTTTAGCTCTTGACTCAGAGAGTCTTACTGTCAGAGTGACTGACAGCGGTCCGTCACTTGCCTCCCTGGCGGAAACTGTTAGTTACTAAGAAGCTTAGAGAATCTAAGTTCCACCCTCCGGAAGGTTAGATTAGAAAAGAAGTTATCAAGGAAAGTGTTAGATTCAGAACTTGCCATCGCCTCCTGAAAGTAACAAAGATTATTGCTTCTGTGTGATACAGAACAAACATTTCATGACCTACAGTATRTTATSATCTGATGAGGAGTCTTCAAAACATAACTGAAAGAAAAATGAATTGTTTCAAGTTCAAAACTTTTGCAAATATGATTCAGACAAGTAGCATTGATATTTCATCAACTTTAAACCATAAAGATTATTTTAGTGAAATAAGATTTTTTTCCACAGAAAAACAATACATAGCTGAAATCATACTGAGGGAGAAAAGAGATCTGTCCTCTTTCCTCCTGTAACTTTGATAAACATTCTCTGATTATCAAAATGCGTAATACTTTCAGTTAAGAGAACAATAAATCAAATAAGAGAAGATTCTTCTGTTTGTTATCTGATTTAGGAGGAAGAGAATGTCTCTGAATGGTTAAGGCGACCTGAGGTGGCCTAAATTCAGTTTAAGTGGAACAGAATTTTTATTCCTTTACAGGCCCATCAGAGGACTGAGAGTCCAAGATAGTTTCCTTGATAATTTCACTCGAGGTGACCCTTACAGTATCGAACATCACTAGTTAAAACCAACCTCTGTGTACTCGCCATTTAGGATGTAATCATTGTAATGTTAGAGACTGAAGTGTTTGTGCGCATGTTGTTGAAATAAAATTCTTGCGCCAGCTAGCGTCACAAATTCTATGTTTTTTGCAGTTTTGTCTGGACAGCAATGGTGATCACAACATTGTGCATGTGTAACGTTCCCACAGTCAACATCAAAAAATCTAACATTTCCTTCTGGTTGCCTCGGCGTAATACAATTAGCATTTAAGGTAAGCCCATTTTGCTGCTCTTTAATGTGATGAAGTGATGACCTATGGTCTACGTCAGTAGTTGCCAACCTGAGGAGCCAACCCCCTGGGAACAAGTCCTTTTTGAATAATTAAAACTTTATTGTACTTTTTTTGTCCTTTTCCAAATAAAAGTCTGCAAGTGTTCACTTTGAAGTAAGAAYGAAGAAGAAGGTTGGTTCCCAACACTGGCCCTTGAGGAACACCATCTTGAATAGTTGCTTCCCTGTACTTCAGCAAGTCGTTGGATTCTTCAGAAATTCGTTGATCACTCATTCATACAAACCATGTGTGTCAAAAAAAGGAGGAACATCTAAAATAAGGATACTATTCCTCTGGGACCAGATTTGGGAATCACTGATTTATGTGACCAGCTGGTCATGGAATTTAAACGATTTTTACTAAGGGAAGATCAATGATAGCACAAACATTGTATTTAAAAAGTTGTACTGTATTTTGTTGTATTGAAAATGATGCAAGGGAGACATCCTTTCTACATACAAAGAGTTTCACTCCACATCAACCCAGTCGAGGCTGAAAACTGAACTGACATGTCAATGACTATCCTGAACCTTAGAATAGGGGCTGTCCTCACAGGAATGTTTTTTGTCTTTTTTTATTGTTACAGTCTTTTAGGAATCTTTAAACTGTTTTTTTAATGAGAGAAAAAAAACAAATCTCGAAACCTCACTTTTGCATGCAGCTATACCAAAACCTCTTTTGAAATTTTGTCCTAGCCCCACCTCTAATCTTACCGTAGAGTCAGTTCTGAACTTCACAAACTGAGGATCTGAGACCTGGTACACATTTAAGATGAACCCATGGTTACTACAACATTATAGGTTCATTTTCTGTTTCTTGGAAGGATCCATTTCTAAAAGCAATCCTTCATTTACAAGGACATTATCAGACATAAAACATCATTTTGTAAAAGCTGTATTTCTGCGTTAACGGATGCTTAACGAGAACCCAACATTTCAGGGCTAAATGACCTTTTGATGGTTCAGGGTGAGTGGGTTCCATGGTAGGAGAAGTTTAGGGAAGTAAAGTTGAAATGTGGCTAAAGCTTTAAATGTAAAGTGCTTTTCATTCATTAAATTCCAACAAATTTTCTCTTGACTTCCTTTAATCTGTCAACCTATTCGAGCATTTGTATCTTGCTCGTACCAGGTGTGAGTTTGGTCAGAGGAAGAGCAGCAGCATCTAACCCACTTTTTACATGTGTAGAAGAACAAGTTTCATTCACAATATGCAGTTTAAAGACTGAAACCATCAAGAGCTACTTGCAGTCAGAAAGCAGCCGAGTGTGCTTCCAGAAGATGCTTCCTGGATAAGTTCTTGGCTCCTCTCACACAGTTATGTAAGTACTGGAATCAGCTGAAGCTGGACATACCAAAGGTAAAAAAAAAAGTTTGTCAAAGATGTCTGACATCTTTAAATTAATATGCCATCATCAAGAGAGAAGCTCTTTGATTTTTGTCTTTAGGACTAATCAGAGCCATTTTGTTAGTTATTTAGCTGTTGTTGGCTCAATAACTTTCYGTCTAGTTCTCTGCATGTATCGGTTTCTTCCCACTGAATGAAAACATGCATTTTAGATTTATTGGTTCTCAGCAGGTGAGAATATGAATGTTGATCTGCTTGTTTGCCTCTATTGTTGTGGACTGGCGACATATTCAGGATGTACCCTGCCTCTCCAATGACTGCTGGAGACAGACACCAGCTCCTTGTGACTACAGAAAAAGCAGGTAAATAATGGTTTTAGAAAGGATGGCTTATTGGAGGGAACTGCATGAATGAGCTGTTCAGTTTTGAACGATAGTGATGTTGTGACATGACTACGCTTTGGTGAAATGCCATGTGTCTTWTCAAATGGGAACCCTTCCTCCGCTTTGCCTGTCCTTCTTAGTGGAAAAGCGAAAGAGTAACATTTGCCACTGCATTTGAAGAGAAGACCATGAAAAAACCACAATGAATGACTTGTCTGCATCTCGGTTCTGATCGTTTCTTGTAAGAGTATGGTACAGTAACTGTTCTCTATTAAGCCCCATAGGGAAATTAGTTCTCTTCAATTGTCTCATTGCACACGTGCAACAATGGGCTTCAATGTAAGGTGCCCGTGGGTTAAGGGCTTTGCTCAAAGGCCCACAGAGGGGCAAATGAGGGTAGAGGCAGACATGGATGGGTGCCTCATCATCTCCACCTAAATTATTTGTTCTAGTCAGTGGATTAACCTKTGACCTCCCAGACTTGCCTTCTCCAACTTCTGCATCACCACTTTTGTTCAACTCCTGTAAAGAGACGTTCAAAAGATTTGGATCATTCATGAGCACCACGCCTCTATATGTTTTCATTTGAAGCTTGTGAAATCTTAGTACACCTGATTACAACGTGTTTGCATGGTCATTCTGCAGAAATATGTCCAGRCTGCACAGGAAGTGCTACAGCTRGTTTCTGCTGCTACAYAAAGAGGGTTCTCTTTAAAAAAAAACTATAATGAAATGTACAATGTACTGGCTTTTAAAATGGGACAAAATGTTATTAAAATATTAAATTTGAACACTTTAACARCTCTACTAAATGCAACGACTCAACATATCCAAGACTAGTAAAATGCAGCTGACAAAATCTTATCTATTGTATAACTGAACTGCTTGGTCCACCATCAATCTCCAGTGGTTTACATTGGTTAACGTGGGCACAACTTTGTCCTCATTGAACGGCCATGCAGCCATCTGGCTGAACTTTGCAACAGAAAGTGAATACCCAAATTCCCATAAAAGTCACGCTGTTCCTTTTCATAAAACTAAGGTAGAACTCCTCATTGAAGTTTARCAGGAATCACTGCTCAATAAAATGACAGGATTATATAGCATTATGACTTTATTTCCATGTCAGTGGGGTTGGAGTACATCATGAAATATAGTAATCAGTTTTAGGCAATCAGAAAATTGGAATTCTGTGGCTTTGAAACCACATTTGAACCAGTTTCCACTTGCATGTTTGCTGACATTTTATATTATGTCTTACATTATTGTAATACCAAAGTCACCTTGGTGGTTATGTCCATTTTTTTAAACTGRGGTGTATTAAACTGTGAATAAAATTTGTATATGACATTACATTTGCACAAATATAAAAGCAAAGTAAACTACTTCCATTGAACCAAACCGATCTTGTAGTGTGCCTTTACTTGTGTTAGGTACATTGGATGGTCAGCTGTACTTTCTTCACACGGCCGTGTCGGGGTACGTTTCCTTCGGTCCTACATGTGCATTGTTGCTTATGTGGGGTCCATCTATCAAATGCTCCTCTGTCTAGTCCCTTATTGTTGGTTTTTTGCCTTCATGACATTCATCAAGTTTGCCTATTTTAATTCTGCCAATGCCCCAAAGGAGGGACTTCAATTTGACTTGGCCGTTAAGGTGCTTTCGAGCTCCACCATTCACATTAGTCCACCTGTATGTGTCCATTAGAAGACAGACCAKTAGAAGTTCTTGTTATGAGTCCAACTTGCCCAGTCAAGCTGTACACTTGTCTTCCTGCTGTAAGAGTCCATGAAGTGTAAGTGATAGTGTTTTTAATGTGACGTTAACAGAACAATAGTAGATGCGAACATCTGGTTAATGAGCTCATTGGAGGAAYAAGTTGTTCACGAGGAAAATGTAGCAAAAATTACAGAAGAAAAAAGTTTACGTTATAATTAAGGGCTCCTCTGTTGAGTTCTGGAGCCAGATGTTTGCAAAAGATGGAACTTTAACAATGAGACCTGAATTTAAGTATGCCAATTTTTTTTATGATAATGCGAGAAACCAGATGTGATCTCTTACTGTGATCATAAAATTGCATACTGAGAGGTGGTTAATGGGAAGAGAGTAGGTGAAGCAAACTAAAACAAAACAGGTGAGTTGTACTTTAAAGTAGAACTAAAACTGATCATATGTAGGTCTAAGGCCTTTGAGAGTCTTTCTAGGAAAGCAGTCCAAAACAAAACCAGAGGAATTCAATTTGCAACTGCAATCCTTCCCGTCTGAGAAATAAAAAGTACACATAAATGGATACAACCCTCGGACTGATCCACCCAAGTTTACAGTGTTTGTCTTCACCCTATACCAACATTTCCAWGATAATTCCTCAGCCATCCAAATCTGCATCCAGTCCAAAAGAAGGACAACAGAGGGGTTATCAATTCTTTCAGCCAGCGAGGCCAATGCCTCAGTCTGTCAGCCACGCCACTCAGAGTCCTCCTCTTAAAAACCGTCGTTCCCATCGTTCAATTTGTTCCCAGATCAGCAGAGACAGCGGCGGTCGCTCTTGGTCACCTCCTCTGACGAATGGACCACATTGGGCACAAATCCGCTCTTCACACCCTCCCAGCCCTCCTGGATCGTGATGTCGCCGGACCGTACCAAGGCAAAAATCTCTCTAGTCAGCTCTGTGAAGGCGTGCTCCACGTTGATGGCATCGCGTGCCGAGGTCTCGATGTAGCGCATGCCGTAAGCCCCCGCCAGCTTCTCTGCTTCTTGCCGAGTCACCTGGAAGATCGAATATGCTGTGGTTAATTTTCAGTAATTAAACCTACRTTATTGACACCTAATGGAGCCACTACTCTTATAAAAAGCTCACCACTGGATTTTTAAAATAATTGTACATGATTTAATGTTTAGAGAGGTGAGCAATTCACTTTGAGTTTAGCCCTGCTTGGATTGACTAGCCATTTACTCATCAAGTACAGTACAATTTTAAATTATCTGAAATACAGTATGTTCTACTGCTTTAAGTTGACGAACAGAACAGATCAGAATAAGGCTGGTGATAGAGAAGGTCCTACAAAATGTACAGATTTATTTGAGTGGAATTCTTCTGCTCTGGTATCACGTTTGTGTTTCACACTGCTGTGCAKAGGATTTTGCTTTGTCATCCTGTTGTTTTAGCTCTCTGCTCCAGCTGCCACATCAGAATTAAAAAATAAAACTGTGACAGCTCACCTCTGAACCAAAATGCGCTCTGATCTAAATTTGAAGAAAGTTATTTTTAAAACAACAGAAATTAAGAAGATGCTTCATTTTGTGATTTTTTAGAAAAAGATCAACCTGATAACTAAGTCCTGGCTTTACTTTTTATATTTTATGTTTTTTACTGAACACACCTGGCGCTGTGCGTCCAGGTCGCACTTGTGGCCCACCAACAGGAATACGATGCTGTGTGGCTGGACGTGGCTGCGAGCCTCCTCCAGCCAGTCGTGGACGTTCTGGAAGGAACGGCGGTTGGTGATGTCAAAGAGAAGCAGCCCGCCCACAGAGTTACGATAATAAGCTCTGGTAATAGACCTGCACAAGATGTCAAAAGAAGAAAAGGTGAACACAAATGAACATTTCGAATATACAAGGTGAGTCAAAAGTCTCAGGACACCCTTTCATTTCAAAAACGGAAGGGAAAATCAAATATCTGAATGCCTCGGCAAACAATGGGTGAGGGGGAATATCTTTCAGGCTATGTTCAGAACATGGCTGCCATCTTGACAGCCACCATATTGGCTCAAAGTCAAAATTTTCCAATGAAAACTGGGTTGTGTAGCAWATCAAAGAAGAAACAGTATATTGGTAAAATCTTTTAGCGTTGTCTGTGAGATTTTACTGGTTTTTCACTTAGAGCAACATGAGTTGTCCACACAACAAAGATTGTGTGGTCAAAAAGTACAGGGTGAAACAAAAGCCTCAGGACACCCTTTWATCCACCCATCCATTCATTATCTTCCAATTTATCCAAAGTCAGGTCACAGGGGYAGCAGCTCGACCAAGGAAGCCCATACCGCCCTTTCCCCACTCTCTACTTTGAGTCTCTCTTAGATACCAACTTCTCACCCTATCACTATGGATGAGTCCAGCTACCCTGTGGAGAAAACTCATTTGGACGGTGTGTATCCGCAATCTTGTTCTTTCGGTCACTACCAAGGAGGTCCTATAGAACAACTGGAGTGCGTAAAGACCACGTGACCGTGTGATCGGCTGGAARAGCTAATGGCTAACGCTAAACGGGCAAGAGTCTGGATTTACCATTGCTGTACATGTTGACAACAGAGCAGAAAAAAAGGATTGACGATGTAGAAATCATTAAAACTATTAATAATAATATTAATCCAATTATTATTAATGTTTTACAGTTTATATAATATATCTAATGTTTTAAATAATGCCAGAAAAGCTGTTTGTGTTATGGATTTATTAACAGAAGAAAAACAGGAAAACATCTCATTTTGCAACACAAGTCAGCAGATTTGATCTTTAGCTCAATGTGATCAGAGCAGAACATAATGTAACAGCTTAAAATTAAAATAATCTTATAAAGTCAATGTAATCACTGTTATTTATTGAGCTGATTAGCAGATATTAGCTTGTGGAGCATTTACTATACAGAGTTTAGCTCTGTTGAATTATGCTACAATTTAACACAAACTATTAAATATTACTTTGTCCTCTGATTAATATTTAGACCTACAGAGTGTAAAATAATATTATAAAT